CCTGAAGGTGGGAAAGCATATTTGGTCACAATGTACTTTCCAGTCTACGTGTGTGTGTGCACAGGCATCAGTAGTGCAAGAACTCTTTGGTGGAGAGTAGTTGTTCTCTAATTACTTGGCCTCAGAACCCTTTTAAATCTTGAAAACCACCTAAGGCCTAAGAGTTTTCTATTAACATGGATTGTATGTGTTAATATTTGCCATGTTTGAAATGAAATCTGTGAAACATTTAAAAATTCATTAATTCACTTACAAGAACACTATAATCCCATTACATATTAACATACCTAACACATTTTTATGAAAAACCATTTTTCAAAACAAACACGTCTGCTGAGAAGAGTGGCAGAGTTTTACGTATTTGCAAATCTCTTTTAAAATCTGGGTAAATGGAAGACGGGTAGATTCTCATCACTGCTTCTGTGCTCACGCCATTGCAGCATTACACATAGCACAGCTTCCGGAACACTCCACCGTGAGGGCGAAAAAGACAAATAACATTTTAGAATTATCATGAAAATAGTTTTGAGATAGTGGATCCTCTGAAGGTTTCTTGGGGAACCCCAAGGGTCCCCCTAGGCTACACTTTGAGAACTGCTGGTTTAGCAACGCAAGGGCATATATAGGACAATATTTGCAGGTGAAGCGTCTATGAGAGGGCTGACTGACCTGGAGCAAAGAGGGTCCCTTTTATCCCCGCTTCCAACAAGATAACCTGATTCTCAGAGACGGAAAAGGTTAGGACAACCCATCCTCTCCTCGTACTGCTAACTGGGGGAAGGCCAGCCGCTCACTTGCGGTCCAGCAGCCAAAGCCATGGGAGGAGGAGGAGAGGCTTCAGAGATGGCAGTTCCTGCCCCCCCGGCCCCCAGCCTTCCACAAGCCTCCTCTGTCTTCCCTCCTATTCCCTCTTCTTCCCCCCACCCTCTACAGGAGCTGCGGGGAGAGAAGGGAGGTGAAGTGTCACCTGTGTGACGTTGGGAAGCACCAGGGCAGCTCTCATTTGCATTTCCTGCGGACACGTCTGTCTGAGGACCCTTCCGTTCACTGCAGGAGACACCTCAAATATCTTCCCAGGGCACCGGCGTCTTCGACACCCTTTGGGTGCAGCCATTTTCTCTCACAAGGAATACGAGAGTCAGTCTCTTCCCAGCTTGCTTTTGCTTTTCTCATTTTTAAACTGTTGTCACTACTCTGTGAAAGCAGAACCTTAGTCTCTACACCAAACCTGAGCACCAAAGTGTTCTGAGCGTGAAGGTGAGGTCTATGACGTGCTTGAGGTGTGACCGGCCCCTTCCAGTATGGTGGCATTCTGCTAAGTGTTGGTCTGCATTTCCTGTCTGCTCACTAAGTACCAGACACTGGTTCGAGCACTGGAGACCCCCGAGATTGCAAACTATATGCCACCGCTCTTCCCCTTCCCTCTAATTCTAGAAGCCACGGTTTTAAGTGAGGCACGCGGCTTCCCAGTTTAGAGACAACATCTGCAAGCCTGCCTCGTGTCCAGCTGTGGCCACAGGATTACATTTTGTCTATGAGATGCTCAGAGGGAGCCCTTTGCCTCTGGTTTCTGTCTTCTTCCTTCCCCTTAGCTGCAGTGAGGCTCTGATGGCTGAACACAAGTGGATCATCTCGGGTTGTGGGGTGGAAGCCACTTGTTGAAGAAGGTAGAGCGACAAGTTAAAAGAACCAGGGTCCCTTGACACTGGGCAATATGCCAGCCTGGTCCGCCAAGCTTCCCAGGGTGCCCATGCTGCCCACTGCGCCAGCCCCTGTGGAAGGAAGTAACTATCTTTTGTTTAAAGCCACCCTTTTCTGTTTTGGTTCAACACAACCCTAATACAGACATTTAAAAGCCATTACTTGTAATCCTTATAACAATAGTATGACATCACCATTTTCCGATTGAGACAGATAGAGATTATATAACTAGCCCAAGGCCATATACCAGATGAGGGATGGAATGAAGTTTCTAGCCCAGGCAGTCAGCATTCAAATCTGGTACTTTAGCAACTCTACTTTGCTCCCCAATAGTTCAGTCAATGGCCGGCCCTCTTCCTTGTGGGGTTGGTTTTCTGACTTTCTTCATCTGTTGTTTATAAAAATCTGCTAGTGTCTGCTACTAGCTTCTGGAGTAGAGGCACTGGGTTGCCAGCGACAACATGGGGAAATAATACCTCTATTGACTATATTCTCAACTCCTGTGAACTTACAGGTTTCTGGGCACACATGTACACACACGTGCACGGATGCAAACACTGATGGTTCATACCCAACTCAGGGTGAAAAGCCAGGTGTCCACCTAGCTCATTTGGACATTGGCTTTTAGACTCTCTACACACTAATCATGATCCTGAGCCCATAAATATATCTGGATCAAGTATAAAATATATTTACTGTACTTCTATTGTGTCCAAAGGAAACATCCTTTAGAGGCCACCGGCAGTCCCATTTGTATTTTCTCTAAATCAAAAGTTAGGTGACATTTCTTCTCACCAGCAGACCAGCCCTGTACCCCTGCCCCCCGCCGTGTGGTGCTCTGCTTAGAAAGGACCACTCAGCTAGCGTCTTGTGAGACCCTGGCTAGCTCACACTCCTATTAGTTTGGTTAGGTGAGGCTATACTACCATAACTAATTAACCCTCCAGGTTGAGCGCCTGACATAACAAAGGTTTAGCCTGTTCCCACTGTGGGGTGGCCAGAGGCCAAGAAATATTCAAGGGAGGTAGTGCTCCACACAGTCATGTAAAGACCCAGGCTAATGGTGGCCCCCTGCATCCTACAGCTATATTCTCTGGAACATCTGACCTCCATGATTACCATGGAAGGGGAAAAGATCATTTGGATATCCCGCCCCCTCAGTTTCATGCTCTAACCCGGAAGTAACAGATCACTTCCTCTCACAACCCATTGGGCAGGACCAGTCACATGACCCTACCTCTGTCCAACGGGGCTGGAGTCGGGACATGATAGATACGTGGTGCGCTGGAAAGGTCTCTGCCACCTCATGTAAGCATCAACATGTCTACAATCACGAGTCTACTAAACATATTCTGAGTTCTTTCCTTAGTCTTTGGTGGGCACAGGTGGAAAATGCTAAGCTCCAATTAATGAGAAAGCACAAACGCACAAGGGCTTCCGTGGGCATTTCTGCCCTCCTGACAGAATAGTTAGGATTTTAGTATTTGATGGTTGAGGAGCAATTGACAAGTGGCGCCTGAGAATTAAAACAGCACACTGGGTGGTCCGAGGAGACATAAGTCAACTGATTCATCTGGCTCCGTCTTACTGGCGATGAGGAGACCTGAGCAGTACCTGTGGTCACCGCCCACCCTTCTACCCACTGTGACCCTCCAGTAAGGATGGGAGGAAATACAGGCACAGATTCATGGACTTTGGAAAGAGATAAACTCAAGAATATGGAACAAGATAAATGTACATTATTGTTTATATCCTGAGTCCTCCAAGACCAAACACATTAGATTTTTCTTTAATGTTTTATTTATTTTTGAGAGAAAGAGCGACAGAGCATGAGCGGGGGAGGGGCAGAGAGGGAGAGCAGAATCCGAAGCAGGTTCCAAGCTGTCAGCACAGAGCCCAACGTGGGGCTCGAACCCACGAACCGCGAGATCATGACCTGAGCCGAAGTCGCATGCTTAACCGACTGAGCCACCCAGGCGCTCCAAACACACTTAAATTATACTTAGAGGTCTGAAGAGGAATGGTCAGCTTCTCTTTTTTATGGTTGGCTAATTGCAACTCATACCTAAGGACCTAGCTGAACCAGGGGCTGGCTTGTTTTGGCTCCAGGTGGCAAATCAACCAGATGTTTACCTGGACCCTAACATGCACCTGGTGCAATGCTAACAAATACTTTGATGGCTGCAAAAGAAAAGCAGAGGGTGCTACAAGGCAGTGGGGCAGGTTTTGTACTAAACATGCCACCTTTGTAATGTGTACAAATAGCTCAGAAGAACTGGCCCTTCAAACTAGTCCTTTTAGAAGTTTGCACTCTTACATCTGAGAGGTAGCTGCGAAGGTCGTGGCACCACCTTTTGGAACTCTCTACAGGCCCTGGGTAAGGACTCAGTGAAAGCTGACTCCATTACCGCTGTAACATCTCCTTTTCTGGTGCTATTGTTATCCAGCAGAGCTATCTACTAGGTAGTTTACTAGCATCGGCTTTCGATACCTTTTGTGTATCCTCAGAAATCAAACACATGCTCAACAGAGGAAGAGTAACCATGCCAATAGAATCCCTAGAAAAATGTGCCGTAGCCTCTGAAGGCAAATCCCTAATCACATTTTAAAATTCCACAGGAGGGGCACCCGGGTGGCTCAGTTGGTTAAGCGTCTGACTTTGGCTCAGGTCATGATCTCACAGTTCGTGAGTTCGAGCCCCATGTTGGGCTCTGTGCTGACAGCTTGGAGCCTGCTTTGGATTCTGTGTCTCCCTTTCTCTCTGCCTCTCCCCTGCTCATGCTCTCTCTCTTTATCTCTCTCTCTCTCTCTCAAAAATAAACATTAAGAAAATTTTAAGTTTTGAAACTCTACGGCAAAGGGGTGCCTGGGTGGCTCAGTCAGTCAAGAGTCCGACTTCAGCTCAGATCATGATCTCATGGTCCATGAGTTCGAGCCCAGCATCAGGCTCTGTGCTGACAGCTCAGAGCCTGGAGCCTGCTTTGGATTCTGTGTCTCCCTCTCTCCCTTCCCCTCCCCCGCTCATGCTCCGTCTCTCTCAAAAAATGAATAAATGTTAAAAAAAATTTTTTAACTCTATGGCAAATTATATTTTCCCAAAAGAAATAGCTCTCATCCTATTTCTCATTCTGTATACTTTTCAAGAAATTTACTCACCCACCAGGAGATGGAGTCTGATCTCCATTCCTCTGAAAACCAAGTGAGTTTTTGACTCACTTGTAACCAACAGAATACAGGGACATGATACTGTCTGACGTCAGCGTGAGGTCATAAAGCGCAGTGACAGCTTGACAGCCGTGTGAGTTGAACACTCTCGCCAGAGCCTTGAGTCACCATGTAAGCGTTCGACCCATTTCTGTGGTGGAAACACTCCTAGAATGGCCAACCTTAAGCTACTCAAGTGGCAAATGCAGAATTGAAAAGAGGTGCCCACCACTGGCATGCGGGCACACGGAGCTGGAGTGGATCCTGAAACAGGTCAGCTCCGCAGGGCCAACTGATGCTCCTGAATGGGTTTTATTTTTATTTATTTTTTAAATTTTTTCAAAACGTATTTGTTTACTTTGAGAGCGACAGAGAGACCGAATGAGACAGAGAGAAAGGAAGAGAGAGGCTGAGAATCCCAAGCAGGCTCCCTGCTGTCATGCAGATCCAGAGGCGGGGCTCGAATCCACACACCGGGAGATCACGACCTGAAATCAGGAGTCAGAGGCTTAACAGACTGAGCCACACATGTTTTAAAGTTTCTTCCTGTTTATGGGATGGAAGGCGGAACAAGGAAGCCTAAAATTTGTGGAGCTTGTCTGCGCTTGCCTCTGGCCCAGATAGAGGATGAGAGAGAGGCTTCTGGCTTCACGGTGGGCAAACCAAAGGGAAACTTCTAAGCAGCCCACACAGACCCCTAATGTGACAGCATCTTCCCATGAGACAGAGGGACGTGGTGGCACAACCCTCACCTCTGCCCCCCAAGAGCAGATACTCAGGTGGTGTGGGAGTGAGGCCGCCTGCTGGGTCAGGGGTTGAAGGCTCTGCCTCCCCAAGGGGGCCTGGAAAACCCGCGGGAGGGTCGTGGCTGGCATGGACCAAGCCGATCCCCACTATGCTGTGTGGGGCTGGGCCTGCTTTGTGAGGACATGGCCCAGTTTCCCAGGTCCCCTCCCCACCTGGGAAAATACACCCCCACCAGCCAACACTGGAGTCTGCATGAGGGGGTTAGATAGAGAAGCTCCTGATGTTTTCAACAACTTGTTTTTGATCTTAATGTATTCTATTTTAGGGGGAAAAACACATAAAAGGAGAACATTAACATGGTACCCGATCGCCCCCTCTCCCCACTGAACACTTTGGTGGTGTTTGCATGGATTTGCACTCTTGGTTTCATTTCCGTTCTTGGTGACTACGTGGAGACCTTTGGCGTGATTGCCGACTGTGAGTATTTCTGCCGTTAATGGGTGTTCTTTGTCCTCTGAGTGCTCCGGTCATATTTTGCAATAGTCTTTCACGTAAAAGTACAATCCTTTGTGATATTTAGCACGAACCTCTTCACAGGGTTACTGAGAGGCCCGCGAGCTCTTGTTTCTGTGGTCAAACACAATCATCTCCTACTTTTTATCTTCCGTCTCCGCTTTTGTATCTACAAAGTCCCTCCATCAAGATCCAAAGGGTAGCTGCGTCTTCCAGGCTTATGCTGTCCTTGCATACACCTCTTGATGCATGTGGACTTTATTTTAAAATATAGGGAGAGGGGTGCCTGGGTGGCTCAGTCAGTTGAGCGTCCGACTTCAGCTCAGGTCATGATCTCATATTTCGTGGGTTCGAGCCCCACATCGGGCTCGGTGCTGACGGCTCAGAGCCTGGAGCCTGCTTGACAGGCTATGTGTGTGTGTCTCTCTCTGCCCTTCCCTTGAGTGCATGCTCTCTCTCTCTCTCAAAAATAAACATTGAAAAAAAATTTTTAATGAAATATGGGGGGAGCTAGGGATTATCTTCCACTTTTTCCATATGGTTGGCGCGAACATCATTTGCTGACAAACCTCCCTTTCCTCGCGGATCTTAACCATGTACTAAGTTCTTATCTGTAAATATCTCTAGTAGGGTCTGTGTGTGTGACGCTCTGTTACCCCATCCATCTGGGGACAGTTTGATCTGGCTATTGAAGCTTTATAATATCTTGGTTTTTCTTCTTTTCCCTCAACAGCATAATACTTTTAATGCTACTCTTTCTCAAAATAGTCTAGATCAAGCTATCAAAATCTCCTACTGCAGGGCCTCACTGGAATACAGTTCCTGTAGACCTGAGCAAGTTCACAACTCCACCCACCCCCCCAACCCCAGGAAACTGCTCTTCTAGTTTTCCCTGCTCCTCCTGGCCTTTGGCTTTGGCTCTGGCTTTGGCGGAAGCAAACCAGAGCGGGAGAAGACAGAGCTGGGGCCTTCCAGGGCCACCTTGACAGGAAATTAATTCGTGTGGTCACCTTCCTCGCAAGGGTCGTTTGTCTGCGGCTAGAAATCAACATCTTGCATGGAGCTGTGTCTTTGTTGTGCTGGGGAGGTGGGGGGGGGCAGAAACCCCCCTCCCCCAACAGCGAGCCTAGTAGTTGCTCAGGAAAGAACAGTCAGCAAAGGTTCTGGGCTCTTCTCACCACCTTATCACTAAATTATCTCGGGCACACTGCTGCCACACGCTGGAATTCTGCCACACCATCTGCAACGCGAGGTGGCCAAACTAGACTCCCTTCCAGATCTAACACGGTGCAACTGGTTGTAGGCAACTGCGTCCAAATCTTGCCTTTGTTTCCCTGAAGCCAGCATCTGTCAGGACGTTTCAAGAGCTCCGAGTTCAGACATCTTCACGTTTTCCGGAGCCTTCTTACTTTGTGAACGGGCCTTTCAAGATCCAAGGAGTAAAAGCGCCCCCAAAGTCCGAAGCAGATAAAAAGCAATAGCTCCGCCAGACAAGAAGAAAGTTGTGTGTATGTTTTCTCTCCTCTCTCTCTCATCAGGGCAACTTCTGACTGATTCAAACATTTGTTACACTTTTCCTGGAAACTTAAAAGTTTAGTTTGGAATACAGTCATGGAGAGAAAATTCTGCTGAGCGCATAATGTAAAAATATGGTTGCTAATGAGTGGCACTGAGTTAACAGGAAATAAGGAAGAAAAATACAAATTTTGGAAGAAAACAAGCAATTTCAAAATGTTTCCATTCGCTCCGAATCCAGCTTCATTGCTTCGAAGGGTAGTTTGGAAATTCTTCTCATGAAAGTGCCGTAAATATTACCGTAGGCTGTCTATTTTCTGGCCCAGAAGCGAGGGGTAGAAATGACAGATTTCCTCGAACACCTTCTGGGAAATGTGTGTTGATGGCACTTCTGATTTTAAAATGCTTCATCCCTTCCTCCAGTGAAAATACATCATATTCTGCCACAACGCAGGACAGAGTGGCAAACTCCTACTTCTTCAATTAAGAAAACTAAACCTGTTTGTTCTTTGTGACTGGGTGTGTGTTGTGCGTGGGATAGATTTTGAGAGAGTTGCGGGAGCGATCACAAAAGAACCTTCTTCCTCCCTATTAGAAAGCCCGACTTTACACCATTCTTTGGCATTTTCGAACCACCAAGCACCCGGTTTGAAGCCTACGAATAAAATACAAGCCCAGATGCTGTGTTTACGCTGGCGTGCATTAACACTTCATAAGCAGTTCATTAAACTGATAACACTTTAAACGGTAACACTGGCTCTTTCAGCCTCTCTCAGCCTGTAATTGTCCTGAGGCACCAAATGAACCCTCTCCAGGCTGGGAACCACAGGAATTTACATTCTTGACGTGTGTCTCTTAATTATGGACACCCTGGGCCCCGGCTGACTCGGAGAGGGCCGGGCTCAAGCCTGCACGCCCCAGTGACTGTGCACACAGGGAAAGACCCTGAGGACCCCTGTGCTGGGGACACTGCCCAGGGAAACAGGCTTTGGGGACTGGTCTAGGCCGCGAGAGCAAGGCTGTCTCCCCCCCAGTTTCCCGAAACACCTCAGCAGGGTTTGGGCGAAGCCTCTCACTAGAAACCAGTTTTCCAAGAACAAATCTCCCTGTTGATAAAGGTCTTGTGAACGAATGTTCGCCACCCTCTTGAGTTTCCTCGCTCACTGCCCCAGCACTCTCTAGGAATGGGAGAGCCTGGGGCAGCCTGGGGCCCTTCTCCCTGGCATAAACTTCTAAGCCCCTGGGGACTGTCTTATCAGAGAGGACGCCCCGGCCGTCTTTATGTCGGCCTCCCTGCGCACAGTACTCTTTCAGGAACGACGTAAGGGTTAACTGTCCGATCACCACTGTGTGAGCTCTCTGCATGCATTTCACCCAATTCGACAATCCAGGGAGGCTCTACCTCTTCGGAATGGTGACACCGAGGCTTGCCTGGCCACAAAGGGATGACGATGTCAGCCCCCTTGACTTGAGCACAGGGTGCTCTACGGAGTAAGCCTTTCCTAACATCGCCTCCGACGTCCTACCAACTGGTCAGGACCTTATTATCCTCTCTTTGCAAAAGAGAAAGGGGAGACAAAGGGGAGGAGGGACTGAATTGGAACTCAAGTCCACCCGGCTCCCATGACCCGGTGGAGGCCTCTATGTGATGGTCCTCTCTGAGGACACGGGGTGTGTACAGCCACTGAGGGGCTCTCTAAGCCCCGCTCCTGGGGTTTCACCCCGAGGACAGAGAGAACCCGGTCCCTCTCGCCCCTCCTGGCGGGCTAGTGCCGGCGTCCCTGAGTTCCCACGCCTCCCGCTCCACGGAACTGATGGTAACTGACTGGATGAGCAACTGATGGGTAACTGATGGGTAACTGACCGGCTGCTGATTAACCTCAGCGAGGTTTCGGCGAGCGCCCTTCCCAGGCCCGGAGGTCTACGGCTGGCTGCTCGCAGGCGGACACCTCACCTTGAGTCCCTTGCCTGGAATTGATCCAGAGTCCGCAGCGAGGATGCTCGGGGACTTGAAGGGCGATGCGCCGCGGCCGGGCGCACAGCGCCATCGCGTGGCCAGGTTGGGTAGCGCAGCTGGGACCTCCGACTCCCACCTTCTCCAGGACCAGGATTAGTTGGGCGATTCCGGATGGGGAAGAACCACTTCCTCCTTTTGGGAACCTCCCTGGGTCTCTACCTCTGGGCTCTGGCGGCTGACGTGGCTGTAACAGCAGGAGACGCTATGGTCAGTCCTGAAGTCTTCAGTGGAGCGACTGGTGGGGCAACGGATTTCTTCCTCCTGAAAATAAAGCACAGGTAGCAACGGCTTCCGAGAACCTTCTGCTCCTTTGGGGATACGTCGATCTTTGAAACGGCCAGGTCGTGTTAAGACCCACACCACTATTCATTCATTCGTTTCATGGTTCATTAAGTCAGCCAGCAAAAATGTAATAAGCACCTCCGATGTGCCAGGACCCAAGGTGCATGCTGGTGATACCAAGGACCCCAGGGATGGCTTAGAATGTGGTGGGCCCTTTACTGGTCAGCAGAAGCCCCTGGGCGGCTCCTCAAAGCGTTTGACACGCATAAGGAAAGATACACAGATTACAAAGCAACCAATTATACTAAAACACAGACACCAAAGTATTTTTTTAATTGTGAAATAGTCAAGTTCTTTGTCAATATATGATGTAACAAGATCTACAGATCCGTATGCTAACTACTGTCATTTCTTTTTTAAAAAATGTTTAAAAAGTGTTTATCATTGAGAGACAGAGAGAGACAGAGCATGATCATGGGAGGGGCAGAGAGAAAGGGGGACACAGAATCTGAAGCAGGCTCCAGGCTCTGAGCTGTCAGCACAGGGCCCGACATAGGGCTTGAACTCACAGACCTGGAGATCATGACCTGAGCTGAAGTCAAAAGCTTAACTGACTGAACCACCCACATGTCCCTAACTGTCATTTCACATAGTGATGACCACAAAGACATTTCAAGTCAACTGCACCGACTATAATGTGATATGGATATAGCTGTGATTTCTATTAGTGACAAAGTCACAGGCACTGCTAATTCGCTGGGACATGTTGCCCATATTCATAACCGAAGAAATGTTATATTGAAAATACTGATGTAAACGGTTCCTCATCCAAGTTCACGGAGCCCCTGGATTTCATCCATGTGTGACTTGGTTAAGTTGGTGGGTAAATAAACATGGTGAGTGTGGATGGTGCTGAATGCTTTGCAGGACATCACTAGGGGGATTCTGACGATAAAATAGGGGCGGGGGGAGTGGGTGCATGTCAGATGCAATGGTCCAAGAAGGCCTGGATGCGAAGACATCTGTTAAGTGGCTCTTAGAGAGGCAGGAGATGGCCACCAGGGGGCGCAGGTTAGCCCATAACCTGCACAGCTCGCAAATTTGACTCCTGCCTACAGGACTGATCTCCACCCTTTGGCCACAGTGCACCCCCGCCCCCAGTGCCTAAGGCCTGGTCATACTCGCACCCCTGCCTGGGCCCTGAAGGCACTTGATTTTGCAACCCAGCCCTGACAACAGTGATCCGCCCTGTGGAACTGAACCCCTCAGACTTGAACCTGCAGAAAAATCTCAGGATCCCAGTTTTATTTGGGAGCCAAGCTCCGGAAGGCTCGGAGATGCCCTGAGTCTTCCAGGTTGGCGATTCCTCTGGGCGCCCCTCAGCTAGCGGGTGCGGGTTCCAGTCCGGACGGTGCTTGGGGGAGGGGCTGGTGAGCTTGGGGCCGGGTCACAGGAGGCCTTTGTAGTCGGTCAGAACCAGTGTGGCAGGCTTGCGGGGTGATGTCAGGGGCTGGCACCGGCAAAGAACAACTTTGTTGACAAGAAGATTAATTAGACAAATGTAGCGCCCATCAGTCACTGGCGCCGCCTCCTCCGGGCTCAGCCCTAGTCAAGCCTTTGCTGGAGGTTTTTAGGATTTTTTCCTCCGTCCCCACCCCCCACCCCCCACCTTTTTAAAAGAAAGCTTCAGCTTCTAACAAGGCAGCCAAATAATTCGAGGCGTGCCAGGAGAGCAAGCACGTACAAGCAGGTTCTGAAGGCAGGCCCGGCCCGGGGGGGGGGGGGGGGGGGGGGGGGGGGGGCTCTTCCTCCTGCCTGCACAGACCCGACCCCAGGAAGCGTGTTGAGCCCTGACTCTTTCCTCCTGCGGGGGGACGCCCTGTTTGTGAGCTCTCTTGGTCTCTCTTCCTCTCCGCCTTTCATGAGCGCGGGTCCCCAGAGAGCGGCGCTGGCAGCCGGCCATGCGGGCCTGCGGGAGTGAGGCTTCCGCCGGCCCAAACCTCTTCTCATGTCAGACGCCCCCTGTCTCCAGTGGCCACCCGTCCCAGGGTCTCACTACGGGAGGTGACAACGAGTCACGAGTCGCAGAGGCCCCATTCATCGTTCTACAAATATTCACGGAGCCTGTTAAACGCCAGCAACACAGGGGAGAGAGGGGTGGTCTTGATACATCAGGCCCTTGCGTTGGGGGTGGGAGACTTCTATTCCGGAGAGGGAGATACAGCGACGGGTAAAATAAATGCACAAATGTTGGTGCCTGTGGTAAAGGCCAAGAAGGAGCTTGATGGGGGGATGCGGTGGAGAGGGCTTGAAGGTGGCAGCCATGTTGGGAAGGGCGCCCCCGAGGAGGTGAAATTGCAGCGCAGACTCCAGCAGGGAAGGAGTCCGCCCGGGGAGAGAGCTGTGTGTTTCTCAGCCGCAGGAGACCCGAGTCCAATGGTGTCGAGGGAGGGAGCGCTTTGTAAACACCTGAGGATTGCATGAATGAAAAAAATATTTCCAAGTTGTGCTGCTCACACTTCAGTGTATATTTGAATCTTCTGGAGGGCTTGTTGAAATTCAGATTTCCAGCCCCACCGATTCAGAAAGGGTGGTGTGGGGCCCAGGAAGCTGCATTTCAACGACCCTCCCCTCCGGTGCACCCCGTCCCGGGGATGGAGAGGGGGCGGCCACAGGTTCAGGCCCGCCCACCTGGGCCGCAGCACAGCCCCTCCTCGCCCTCCCCCGCTCGGCCCTGCGTCGCTGGGTCCCTGTCCCACCAGACTTGCTTAAGTTCGAGAAAGCCCTGGCAAGGCTGTGGGAGCCCCACGTCGGCGCAGCGTCAGCAGCCTGTCCCGGGGGCTTCGGATAACCCAGGGCCTTCACCTCCCACCCGGCCAGCAGCACCCAGGCCCGGCCGTGCGTCAGGCCCGCGCCCCACCCTCAGCATGGCCTTGACCCTGAGCGCGCCCACGGCTCTCTTCTCTCTAAGGGGGTCTCTGAAAGCCTCCTGGGGCGGGGACAGAGCTGGATGGCCGCTCAATTGTCCTGTCCAGCCGTCACCCCCCCGGAGAGCCCCTAAATCCCCCCGAGGGTCCCACAGCCTCCTGGACCCCACGTCCATTTTTTTTCCAGAAACAGCTGACCGTCCCTCCGCCCCCCCCTCCCCCCCCACTTCGTGGGAATGAGCTTCGGTAGCAGAGGAAGCCGGGCCTGACGAGGACAGGGCCGCACCGCGGGGCCCCTGGGTGCGGGAGAGGCTGGGCCTCTGAGGATGCGGCGCAGTGACGGGCAGTGCCGCCCCCGAGGCAGTCTTGCCTGAGACCCCGGCAGGAGGGGCGTCGGGACCTGCTCTGCCCCTGCAGCCAGGCCCCCGTCTACTGGGCGAGGAGTCCCGGGGCCGAGATGTGCCACTGGGCCCTTCATCCTGACCTTCCGAGTTCATCGTGGGAACCCGGAGCGCTGCGCCAACTCCGGGTCTCTCTGCGTGGGGTCGGCTCCCCTGTGGGCGACAGAGCAGCTGGGTGTGCGGTGGCGGGGACGGGGCCATGGACGGGGCTTGGACCCGTGCGGCTGCGGGGCACTCACGTGAGACAAAGAGCTGGAGGCAGGCCTCGGGGGGGCGGGGCCTCGGAGGGGCGGGCCTCGAGGGGCGGGCCTCGAGGGGCGGGGCCTCGGAGGGGCGGGGCCTCGGAGGGGCGGTCCTCGAGGGGCGGGGCCTCGGAGGGGGCGGGCCAAAGCCCCTCTCTTTGCACTGCAGGTTCTGATAGGCAACTTGTGAGATTTCCATTTGTTTTTTAATTTTTAAATGTTTATTTGAGAGAGAGAACAAGAGAGAGAGCGTGAGTGGGGCAGGGGAAGAACGAGAGAGGGAGACAGAATCTGAAGCAGGCCCCAAGGTCTGAACTGTTAGCACAGAGCCTGACGGGGGGCTTGAACTCATGAACCACGAGGTCATGACGTGAGCAGAAGTCAGACTGAGCTTAGCCGACTGAGCCACCCAGGGGCCCCTAGATGTCAAAATTCACAGCTGGCCTCCCAGATGATGAGGAAGATGATTTATCAAGATAGAAGAACATGTCTAATGCAACAGCTTGTTATTTTCATTAATAACCTGTTAATAAGGGGCTCCACTCTTGCTTTTATCCTGGGCGTCTCAAACGTCCGGGAGCTCCGAGATAGTTGGAGGAAGTTGCCAGAATCAGGAATGCCCCTCGTGGAGGGTGGGGGATTCTGAGGACAGACACAGGACACGGCCAGTGTTGGCCAGACCTCCTTTCTGGGGGACAGACTGGGATCACCTGCTGTCTCTGAATAGATGCTTTGGGGACCCCTGGGTCAAATATTTGTAGGAACTCTCTTTTCCAGCTGTACACGGAGGGGATTTTAAAGTCATAGGGCCCAACTCAGAAACCACTCACGTCCTTCCCATACCCATAGTCCCTGGGCCTCTTCCCCTGCCCCCCGCCCCCCCCCCCCCCCCCCCCCCCCGGAGACCCATGGCAGGAAGCTGGCTCTCAGGCCACCTGGCCTGATTCTCTTCCAGAAGGGAATGTAAAACTCACAATGGGATGGAGTGATAGCCCTGTGCATTATCCCAAGCCTGCCACAATGTGTGGCCGTGGGCCCTTTCTCCCTCTCCAGGCCTCAGTTTCCCTGTATGCAGGACTATAACACAGTTTGGTATCATCTGACTCTAATAAACTTCCATGTAAGGCGTCAATTCACTGGTCCTAGTCACAAAAGAGAGCACCCATGGAGTAGGACATTTTGTTTGTTTCTTTGGCCAATGGCTTTTGGAATGCTGAGCCCTACAGCTCTGCTCAGAGGAGGGGCTAGGCTGCCCAAATAACTCCATTTCCCAATCTCTGCTGCCCTCTGCTGTCCAGTGCTGGCTAGGACATGCTGACAGCAGCCCAGAACCACATTCCAAGGGGTTCGCTCCTGAAAGGGGCAGTGATGTCCTCCGGGCCACACCGCAGGTGAGCCAGGCTGCTGCCTAGCCATCAGCCCGGCAGCATCCTCCGG